TCTGGCTGGGGCACGGGCCTGGCAGCCTGCCTGTGCTCCGGTGGAGAGGAGAGACCTGCCGGGAGCCGCGATGAAAAAGTGCGAGAGGGTGGAGCAGCTGGGAAGGGGAATGAACGGCAGCAGGGAGGAGGTAGGGCTGTTCTGCAGGATTCCCCTTTCCTGCAGCGTATTTGCTGTCGTGTGTTGTAAGGACTTGTATGAGGAGTCTGGGGGACAGACCGGGCAGGGAAGGGGGCGTGAGTAATGTCCCAGGACTGTGCTGACCCCCATCTGTCTGTCCACAGAGGGCTTGAAGAAACTCTTCTCAGGAGCTACGATGGCATCCAGCCGAGGGGCCTTAGTCACCGTTGGGCAGGTAGGACAGCTATGCCTGGGGCAATAGGTGCCTGGGGCAGGGACAGGGCTAGTCCCTGGCATGGCGAGGAGGGGGGGCGTGTCGCTAATAGGCCGTGTCTCCACAGCTCTCCTGTTATGACCAGGCCAAGCAGCTGGTTCTCGCCACTGGGTTGCTGTCAGACAACATCTTCACTCACTTCCTGGCCAGCTTCATCGCTGTGAGCGGGGCTGGGTGTGGGGAGGCAGGGCTGGGGCTGGGTTTGCCTGCAGCCAGCCTCAGGACCCCAGGCTGAGCTGCCAGAGCTGCCGCTCAGGACTCTGACGAAGCAGGGCTGGGCACAGAGGGGCTGTGGGGCTCCCAGCATGGGGCTGGGTGCAGGCAGGGCTCTGGGTCTCTCCAGTGACCATGGCAGTCGCTGGCACCTGGGTCTTTTCCATGAGCTGGAGCTCCTGACCCCCCCGCTGACTCTCCCCAGGGCGGATGCGCCACATTCCTGTGCCAGCCCCTGGACGTGCTCAAGACCCGCCTCATGAACTCCCAGGGCGAGTACCGGGTGAGTAGCCCGTCCTGCCCACCTTGCTGCTGCCGGTCCCGTCCCCTTTGCATGCTGGCCTCTGCCTCCCGGCACCTCCTCACCTCCCTCCCTCTCGCTCCAGGGTGTCGCCCACTGTGCCATGGAAACTGCCAAGCTCGGCCCCCTCGCCTTCTACAAGGTACCTGGCTGGGGGTGCGCGGGATGGGCTGGTAGGGTGGAGCGTGGGGAGGCTGGCTGGGAGCAGAGCTGAAGGT